CGCCCAGAGCTTTTTTCTTGGTGCGGGGGGTTCTGTTGCAAGTGGTCTATCGGCCAAACCCCGAACCCTATAAGAAAGTCTAGAGAGAGGGAGAGAGAGGGAGGTACTCCAGCGGCAGCAGGTCTTGAAAGAATGTGTGACCGGAACATGTCACCAACCACTTGTTTTTGGGGCGATTTTTTCAAGCTTGTGTCGTTGGGGGGCACGGCCTTTGTCCTGATTTTGAGGTATTGTTTTTACTGCAGAGACAGCGACCAGGGCGAGACTTACGCGGAGTTCATTGCTAGGATGGAAGCGACCTTAGAATTCAGGAATAACATGCAAAACCCTGAATTCAGGGGTCGTATGGAGGCTGCTATCGAGGCGAAGCAACAGGCCGAGACACGGCGAAACGTCAACGCCGAATCTATCACCCGGGCAGCGGCAAGGATGACTGAGGCTGGGGCCCAGGTCCGGGCTGCAATAGGACCTGCTTCAGAGCCCAGCGACCAACGTGTTCAGACTGAGTCTCTGGCTGCCGCCAGGGCTCGCTTAAGTGATGAGATCAAAGCCGTGGCAGATTTGAAGGCTGAGATGGTCGCGGCTCATTTGGCGGTGGCGGCTGCGAACAGGTCTGTGGTCGAGGTTTGCCTTGCTGGCACTGGCCAACGGACGACCGATTATGTTATTAGCGCTGGCATGGTGCGAAGAACTGCAAGGGGTGCCAGAAGACGCGAGGCACGGACGGATCGTGCTATGGAGCCTATGGAAATTGGGCGGAGCGATACTTTGGAGGAAGGCAGGCGCTCACGCTAGCTACTGTACACGAAGTGAGTACAGACGTCGTGACTCGCGCTCTCATGGAGTAGAACTTCTCGACGCAGTGTTTCTTACGACGTCACTGGGCGGAGCGGTGCGTTTTTGTTGTTGCTCCCTAGCTTAAACCGCGGCAGACCGTGGCCTTGAAGACGGTGCGCCGTCAGAAAATGCACCGAAGAGCTTCCAGTTTATCAATACGTGTACATCAGTGCTGTCCAAATCGATGCCTCCTCGACCCATACGTTCCTCCAACACGTACAACAGCAGCTGTTCATTCCTCAAGTGTCTCCAAGTACAGTCTGTAGTGTTGGGAGCACCGGGTTTATCCATTCACTCACCGCTGCACGAGACCCTACGCCCTAAATATACCCCTGGTACTCTCAGTCAGTCAGATTCGACCTCGAAAACCGCTGTTGCTCTCCCGCACGAGCAGCTTGGACAGGTAGAGCTTTGGCCTTTCCATCAGACTGAGCTGCAAACCGTTTCTGCAGCTCACGGTCGAACTCAGTAGGATCGGAGATCGGTCTGACGAGCATAACCATGTCGATACGGTCGGGCGTCATTGTCTTCCGAATATTGTTGTACACGAACGCCCTCAACTCCCTCCTTGATTGGTATTTTGCTACAGCAGCATGTGAAAGTACACTCAGTGTGTGGTGAGGTATACCGTAGGTTGCCGAAGATATCACACGAACATATGATTCCACACCCCCTTCGAAAAGGTACACAATACCATCCCCGTGTGCTGATACGTATAGCCCCGACAACAACATCATTAAATCACACGGTGACATTAGATACCACCCCTTCGAAGGTTGAGTTGCATATTTATCGACGAAGCCCCCGCCTAAACCATGGTGTGATAACACGTGATCACAAGCACACAAGCAAAAGAACCTGCGCCCAAACGCCATGGAAGCCGACAATTTCGTGGAGGAGAGTGCCGCAAAGAACCCTGCTGAAAGCCCCGCGGCCCAGACTGCTGTGGGTAAGGCTCTAGCGGCGGTTCCGCGTTCCGCGCTCCATACGTCCTTTGTTCAACCCGCCGCGGGGGAACGTTTGGCCCGGTTGAGATGGCTCTCTCAGCAGCGGTGCACGACACCGCATGAACTGCTGAGGCCCGCATAACTGATACTGCTATCCCGGTTTCTAAACCCCGCCCATCATACCCCCCCCCCCCCCCCCCCCCCCCCCCCCCCCCCCCCCCCCCCCCCCC